TTATTGTAGCCGCGAGTATAGATTTTTACTCAAAGATCCCCATAGCCCTCTCAGAAGCGCTTTGCAGATTTAGAAATCAGATTCGAAGCGTATCATGCTCTATAAGATGGTATATAATTCATTTGAAAACTCCACGGCCAAGTATTCTTCCCTTGTAAGACTAGCCTCGAGAGAGCACGAGAAAGGGCTACAGGGATAGAATCAGAAATTCTGCAGCAGAAGTGATGCACTGTTTGTCTGCATGAAACTTCTGTGCGCATCTAAATCCAAAAAAAATCATGGGGATATCTGTAATTAACTACTAATCTCATACTTATCGGAAATTATCAATCGCCGAGTTTCACAGTTTCTGTTGTAGGATTAATTTTTACAAAGTTGTTTTAGATGTATTTTTGAGGTTTGTACTTTTGTTGTAAGAAATCTTCCACCTCTTTCACTCTGGTTCAAACAAATATTGTTCAACCTACAGCCTACTCGAGGTATTATTTCTCTAAAAACTTAGCAACATATTGACACTAGTTTTTTTACGCCCCCTGACTATGAAGGCAGCCGATTTGAGTATGGACATACACGCTGCCGCCACAAGCCAAGTGGCTCAAGTCCTCGCCACCGCCTTGGTCTGGCCTTGCGCTAATTAACGTATTTTTCAAGTATTTTGACATGCGGGCGGTGATTAGGCTGGCAAGGCAAGTGAAGATCTCGGGATGAATGGATGAATGTTGCCTATACGTGCTGCCCTAGAGGACTACTGGTCCTTCACGTGCTTATGCAAGCTTGAAGACCAGTGGCGCTAAAGTGGCGCCTAATGACGGCTTTGTTTCTTACCCAATTTAGAGCTTAAAGGTATTTGCGCATGATATCGCATCTCAAATTCTGCAGACGCGATTTCCAAAATAGTTCACCACTCCAAATGAATTATGCGTAAGACTTGCGCTCATTATGCTTTGGCATGACTCGCCTCTGCCTTAAAGACAGTGTCCGGGCAAAAGCTTGACTTCTAGAAAATCCGGGGTTATTTGCAACGCTGAATTCGAAATTTTACATTAGAAGGCGCGAAAACGGCGAGAAGATGCGTTTTCCAAAGCCTTACAATTTGAAATTCGACGGTCCCCGCCAAAGCAAAGACGCGGAGTCCCTGCGGGACCCCACATTTTGACTGTGGCGGCATGCGTACTCTGCCCCATAGCAGGAACTCGAATAGGTCGGAGGACCCCGCCCCAAGGCGTAAGTTTCTCCACTCTCTGGTTGTTTTCTAGCCTTAGATCGAGCGTTAAAACCTCGCACTTGCGCGATGTTGTGTCCGGGGAGGGCTACTTTCGCATGGCACTGAAATCTCAAAACCTCCAACTTGCCCGGACACTGCCTTCAAAGAGGAAACCTTGCTAGCCATTCTGTCATATTTGTCGTTCATTGTATGATTGACCGATCGGGGATATACTTGCACCCAATGTAGAACAACTAAAGCTTTCTTTTGACATCGAATGTTCGAATGAATGGTCTCTAATATTCAAATATTCGAACAACTGTCTTTCAAGTTGGCTCGAATAATCGAATATTCGAATAACTGTCTCTCGAATTTTCTCAAATGAACGAATATTCGAATAACTCATTTTTCCAAATCGTCGAATGAACGAATTATTCGAATATAGGCCTTTTTCATTTATTCGATATTCGAACAGTCGAATAATTGGACTTTCTCGAATATTCGATTATTCGAATATTCGAATATTTTGGATATTATAAATAATATTCGAATGTTAAAAAAATATTCGAATGCAAATATTCGGTTCTAACTATAAAAGTACCGCTCGCTAATAGTGTGGCCACGCCCCAAAATTTGCTGACCGTTTGCAAGAAAACGCGAGTTTGCAGTCGCCTGCCCTCGGCGATCATCTGACAAGTGAAGCTACCTAACTTAGCTAGGTCTTTTAGCAAGGGACATAAATATTCTGAATCAGCTTCAAAGGCTAATTCCGAATATGCCATTCGTAGCTGCGTTATGGGCCTTTTCCTGCGCAAAATTGGCATACTCATCGACTCACTGGCATCACGATATCATTACCTGGGTCCCAATATATTTTTTGCGTTAAGCTTCTTTTTAGTGAGAAAAGATTGATTTGTGTTTTCCAATATCTCAGCACCTTTTTCTTGCAGATTTTTATCTACGGGCAATCTTCCTATGCTCAATATATTCCAATTTTGGGAAGGAAAAAGCCTATAACTTCTTCGGAATGGCGCTCCGCAGCTAGGAATAGCATATTTGGAATCAGCGTTCAAATGTCATTTAGAACACATATGTTCATTGTCAAAAGGCCGAGCTAAGTTAGGTAGCTTTCTTCACGAGTATTTTTGAAAGTCCAGCTAAGTTAGGTAGCTTTCTTCACGAGTATTTTTGAAAGTCCACATAAGTTTCGAGTTTTTCTAGGGCGGATTCCCCGGTCAAACATCTCCCTGATGTTCTGAGTATCGCCTTTCCTTTGTTCTGTCCCCGGCGACTGTCTAAGTAGTTTTACGTATAGTGAAAGCAAGATATTGGTGTTTCTCCAAGATCTATGCCACAATTTGTATCGTGAAGTATGCTGTACAGAAAGAACTTTTTGACACTTTCGAAGTAATATGATTGCAAGTTAAGCGATGCACGTTCGTTCTCAAAGCTTTTGCCTTTGTAAATTTATTCGAAGGGAAAAACATTCCAAAGTTTTCTGTTAGTTCATTCTGTAGACTGACAGACGATACCACAAATCTATTTTGTTTCTGACATGCGGCCATGCCTGAATCGTGTTGTTTGCGAGCACCTCAAATTGAGTGAGACAGACCATCAATGTATTGAACGTACAATATGTGGTTTTCAAAACCAAAGTCCTTGATGACGCTTTCGCGTAAACTGTGATTTAGAACAAAAAACGGTACTTTTCCGTTATCCGTACCCATTTTTTCAATAGGTTCTCATAACATAGTTCGTTAGTCTAAAAATAATTTTTTGTAGATTCTACGAAGACTGCCTCCCTGCCATGTGTCAGGAAAAATTTGACACGTTTTGTCCATTTTGACTTGTTTTTTTTCGTCATTTCCGGTGAGGTAAAAAAGCGTTTTTGACCACCTAAAAGCCTTTCAACTGTCTTCTAGAGAAGCAAAACTGTCTAGAACTTATCGCAGAACATCTTAGTTGCTTTCAGCAATGATTCAAACTTGTCTTCCTTTTCAAACTTTCCGCCATGCGAACTCAGTCAGGAAAGACTACGAATGATGGCCTGCGATATTTCGCTGCTGCTTGTTTCGCCGCTTAGATAATGGAATTCTAGCACACATCTACATTCCGGGCAAATCTAATCTGTTCAATGATAACAGGAAGACGTTGTTATTATAAAGTAGTCATTTTTGAGATCCTTTATTTGAAAATGGGGTCATTATTGACTTGAATACAGATTGAATTTACGTCGCTAGGTAGTGCACAACAAAACCTTGGTAAAACCTGTTAAGTATGTAGATGACATGCCAAATTTTTTTTGACACATAGCAGAAGGTTGGCGCTGCTTCCTATGAATTTGGGACCAAATATGGTACAAGAAGAAAAGCAATTCCTTTCTTTGAAAAATGGGTCCGGATAACGGAAAAGTACCCAAAAAACAGGAGTGGGACTTGTTTTTCAATCAAAACTCATCTTAGCGTCTTCAATCTTGTGTGAGTCAATTTGTTCTCTCAACGAAACTGTACAGGGCTTATCAATTGCGGTGTCAGAGGCACCAGCATCTCCACTTCCGCGCGGGACTCTGCACCTCTTCAGCGAGCATATTCTCCAATCATATCCAATCGATTGAGGCTCCGTCTTTCCCACGCTTGCCCTGGGGAAGTGATCAGGGAGCCTGTTCGGGAAAGATATGCAAAGTCCAGGCGAAGCGGCCGCGCGGGAGGGGGTATGCTAGTGTTTCCGACCTACAGCCGATGCAGTCCGTGTCAATCACCCCTTCTCTGTAAGCGCAACAAGCTTCGCGCCACGTTCGCGCGTTATGGCCCGGGCATTCAGATTCGTCTCATCGTCTAAGAATCCGCACGCGTCCCTGCGTTTTGCATGCGTAGTTCCCATGCGAAAGGCAGTACGTAACTGACATTGACTGTAAGCCTGTAGATCCAACTCCATCCGTTAAAAAATAATCCTAGAAACGTCTAGACTCCAACTTTCAAAAAATCTTTGTTCAACATTGAGGTGTGCCTTGCAAGGTGTAGGGATGAGTTCATGGTGGAGCTACTGTGTAACAGAATGTTTAGGTCTTCAGAGCGTTCGTGTCCGAAACATAGCAGTGCGTACATCTCTCAACTAAATGTTGCTAACGATAAGGTACTTGCAAACAAATAATCAAATAAGTCAGGAACAAAATACAAAAAAACCGTTTGACCACTGCTATCTTCGGATTCTGGAAAAAGTATTCGCAAATGTTACAAGCCGAAATAAAGGGATTTTTATTGATTTCTTTGCTCTTTGATCATCGATCCACCTCGCAGAACTTATCAAAATCTAGGTTCAAGCATGCACTGCTGTGCTTTGTGTCGTTTAGTTTTTTGCTTTGATAGCACCCTATGATGACCAACTCAGGCCTATTCATTCCTCCTCCTCAAAAGGATCAAATAGCTGCTGAATAGCGATACACTCATGATTAGGTATCGTCGATTCGTTGGCCGTACGGACTGCTCAACCGCTGCGGACCACGCGCGGCGCGGTTAAAATGTTGCGAGAGCACGATTTTAACAATGGCGAGCTTGTATTGGAGCAAGCGTTTTACCTCGCGGCGCGTGCTCCGCGGTTATGTCCAGTCCGCACAGTGAACGAATCGACGATATGCGTTCAAAAAACTGTATTAAACTCGATTTTTAAGTCAATGGAACTTTCAAAAATGTTGCACCCAGATTGAGCACAGCATTTTCATCTTATTGTTAGATCTAAAACATGAATATATGGATGAATATACAAATATACAATATAATATACAATATACATGAATATACATTAGAAATTATCGACAGCATTCTACGTTTGCGTATAGTCAAGCCCACAATGCATAGCGTGCCCCAATAGCGAAGATCCTGCGCGCCGGAGAAATTCGCATTGAGGCATGAGGCGCGCTTTGCGCAGCCGTGTGTAGATTTAGTGCGTGTCTTGTCTGAGCACAGCGGAATGAGCAGAAAAAATTGCAGGAAGGTTCGATCGCACACAGGTCTTATCACTGTTATTTCCTGACTGCGCGCACGGGTGCCTCAGTGGCTACCTGCAAAGTATGCTGATTGCTATACCCTATACATACCATCAAAATGATTTGTAAACTGAGATACTAGAAATGGTATTGGCTGAGAAAGGCGTCCCATAAGAGCATGCGCCAAGCATAAAAACAAGACCATTCCAAATTGTGTAAGCATTACTGAATTCAAAATACTGGCGAGCAGCGAACTGAAAAATGACACTCACGAAGTTTTGTCACAAATCGCTCAGAGTTTGACCACTACCTCTTCATAACTCGTTTAATGCTGTTTTTGATCAGCTTAGTATCCGATCCCGTGTACAGGACAACACCATAGATATTATCAGTGTTTTTTAGACGAGCTCCTCTGAGTATTATGTGCGCATTGGCTAAAAGAAACTAGGATCTTTGAGATTTCATTGTTATAACTTACAGAGAGGAATTGTTGTCGGCAAATCTTTCCTCACTCCATTATTTGGCGGTGGATCTGCAAGTGTGCAAAAATAATGATATTGTTTTTTTTTTGAGAAATTATGGCTCTCGATTAGGGATACCATGCAAACCCATAAGCTCTACTCGAAGTACAATGCAGGCATGTACTGAGAGGAAATCAAAATCGAAGCATAGACCTACTAAAGTCATTGCTGAAGCTGGCACTCCCCGGTGGTGAAAGCACATCTGGTTTGCCCATCAAGTACCCTTGGAATTCATAAATGTTGCGATTGGGTGCGTCGTAGACAATTTCTGTCTCGCTAGTCCAGAATTCCTGCAAAGTTGTCCCCTTGAAATACCTGCTTGTAATTTCTATACCGCTATGACTGAAATGGCTGACATTCATACTTTCTTCACAGTTACGAAGTCGTGTAGGTGCTGCTTGTCTAACCTTAGTCACAAATTAGACACTATCTGCTAATTCACTCACTTACCTTCAAATTGCTTTCGCCGTCGAGGTTCGCAGTTTCAACATAAGCAACTGAACCTGGTTCGGAGGTTGCAAGAATGAGACAGTCAGCAGCAAGCTGTTCTCCGTTCACGGCTCTGATCATTTGACCAACATGAAGCTGCAGTTATGAGTTTCAAACTGCAAAAATATCGCAGCAACAAAAAGATCTTCTCAATATGCCAAAAGACAACAGTGATCAAATCTGATGTTCACAACGTAGCACGCAAATGAGCGATGTAGATGGTCCATATAGTGACGGGCTTTTAGAAAGAAAACCCTTTTTTAGCCTTTCATTGTCCTTTTGCGATAAAATATATCGGCCCGTAGTAAATCTCGTTCAGGGGAGATGATGTCATGTATCATCGGTACCAATTCGCTTTGTTGCTTTCCGCGCCGCATTGGTTTGGTGCGCACGTTTTGCACCGGACAGCACTACGGAGCGGCAATTACACCTGGCGCTCTGCCAGTCGTCATCAGATGATTTCGAAGCATATCAGATCATTTTTTGGCTATTCTTTTATTTTCGCTTTTCTTGTCAAGATTTCCGCTGGAAAACTGATGGACCGGCCTTAATTAGACAGTTGTATTTGCCGCTTTTACAACAACACCTAGGAGAGTGAATTTTCACTGTTGCTCTATTTTCAAACTTCCTATAAAAGCTAAAACCACTTCACTTTTTTGCTGATTATCGAGTAAAGCTAAATTTTGAGAACATGCGAGCGACATTAGCTAGTGACGCCTGTAAAGAAAAGAAGCAAGAGAAACAGTCAGAATCAGTCGCACAAAATATTAGGTAGTAGAAAATTCACCTTTCTAGATGTTATTGCAAAAACGGCACATACACCTGTTTCACTAAGACCGGCCCATCACTTTTCCAGCCGAAATCTTAAAAAGAAAAGCGAAAATAAAAGCACTAGCCAAAAAATGATCTGGTGTGCTTCGAAATCAACTGATGACGTGGCAAAGCGTCAGGTGGTAACGCCCGCCACTCGTGCATGGGCGCAAAACGTGCGCACCAAATCAATGCGGCGCGGAAAACACCAAAGCAAATTGAAAATCAAATCTAAATCAAATCAAATCTTAATTTGGAGCAATCAAATTCCTCATAAACTTACTTCTGTCGACCCATAGGTGCGATAGTATGAGACTTTTCTCACTCTCTTCCTCCTCTTTACCCCTCAGCCGGGACCAAGGTGACCCCCTTCACCAAAAGCAGAAAAAAAATCAACAGTGAGGTCAGGGCCCGGCGGGGGTGGCGCTTTCACAAGCTGGATATCGTTTTTGGCCCGAAAAAGCAAAGGGGAGGTCGTATTTTGGGGTCCGGGGCGGAGCCCCGAACCCCAAAATACGACTTCCCCTTTGTTTACCGATAAACAATGCACATGTCATTCTTTATTCAAATTCCATGTTGATTCTACTGTCCTATGAACTTAGATTCCAGCAATGTGAAGATTCTGTGCTCCGATCGCTAGCCTGCCCGCAGGCGGGAATTCAAATCGCAATTCTTGTAAGAGGGAAATAACAAAATAGGCTCGTTTTCAATGCACAAGTAACGATATGGCACCAAATTTGCTGTATAGTTGGAGGACCATAAGCACAAAAAAAGTATGAAGAATTATGAGAAACTTATGTGAATTTAAAAAATGGTAAGTGTTTTTCGAAATTAGGTGGCTCCCGCGCCACCTGGGAGCCACCTGGGGTGGCTCCCTGCTTCCCTTCACATAATTTCCCAGATTTCTTTACATAAATGTGGACTAGGTCGAGAGTATTACTATATGTTCAAATCCGCTTCCAAAACCATCAAGGTACCGCTTCGATACAGTCCCAAACAGGGTTCACAGCGTTATGATCGGCCTCAGAAAGCGCGCTCCAATCGCAATCGGTGCACCTTGCACGGACGACGCGGAAACTCCGCGAATTTGACTTTTTGCTTAATTAGTGATCGCTGATTGAAGCAATCTTCGCAATTTTTAAATAGATTGCTTCTTTGACGAGCCCTACAAGGGCTCAGAAGGGCCAGAGATCATATTCGGTCGTGATGTTCTATACAAAAAGTTGTTTTTGTGATTGTGTTTCTTCAGTTTTCACATTGTGGTCGTTCTCCGCACTTTCACTCTTTTGGGTCGTTTGTTTTCGTCATTTTTCTTTATTCTGGTTGTTGCAGGCATGCTGTCATCAAAAGTTGAGGAAATGTTTTTGACAAGATCGAGTCGAGTAAAGTCGGTGGACCTTCATCCCACGGAAACGTGGCTATTGGCAGCTCTTTACAGTGGAAGCATTCAGATATGGAATTACGAGAGTCAGCTGCTTCTGAAATCTTTCAAAGTAGGTTTATTTTTTTGAATTTTCATGTATTTTTGTATGTTAGGCCCCGGCCAGACTTCGCTCAAGATAGCTCATCCAAGAATGAGTTCCTATCCCGCAAATAGTTAAGCGTTGCCAGGTGTTCTTGTACATATGCGTCGTGAAAAGGGGCCTTTGGTGTTTTTGAGCGGTTCTGGGCTGTTCAGTTGAAGTCTGGCTGGGGCCTTATGTTGCTTACTATGTTTCAATCCAGTATCTTGCGCATTCTTCAGATATGTGATTTGCCAGTGCGCGCTGCCAAGTTTATTTCACGCAGAAATTGGATTGTTCGGCTCAGATGACATGCATGTCAGAATTTTCTACAGCACGTCGCACTTAGGTCACCAATTTGCGGCTCATTCGGACTATCTCAGGTAGGTGGAATGGTGCATTTATGCAAATATGTTACATGACATCGAATTTTTGCATTCGTTTTTGTACATTTGTAATTTTTTGCTTTTTCTTTGTTTTACTTCATTGCCTCCAATATTTTTGTGGATCAGCGAGACCCATATTTTTCAATGTGTTTCTGGTCTGGACGATCCCTTACTCGACAGAGTTTACGCGATTTGATCGTCGCGATTGAATCGCGACAAGACAGCTGTTACGAGTTCATTGCATGCCAACCAGCTTGCACTTCGGGACTGTCAGGGACTTACGGGGACCAAAAATAGGGTCAAAAGGGAAGTCGTAAGAAATTTTGACTTCAAAGGGATATCGTTTTCAAAATCCTGAAATGCCACCTCCTGCCGGGCCCTGAGTGAGGTAAGGTTAAGCAAAGGAGGTATTTGTACGTGAATTGCTTTTGTACAGGAATGTAGGAGCCTGTTGAAAAAGTGCTTGGTGACGGGTGTGAGTAGTGATTTCTGAACATTTTGCAGTTTTTAAACATAAAAAAGTTCATAACTTCTGTAGATGAATATCTTTTACGGCGAGATGGTCACCGTTGGAACCGTCTCGTCCTCCGCTTTCAGAAAATTTATACTTTGTCTGGAGTCCGTTAAAAAAGTGCCTGGATGAAGGGTGGGTGAGACTTTTATAATGGGACTGTTCAAGTACAGACTTTTTTACCATCTCAGATAATCGCTGGGGGCAGGCGGTCTGCAAACTCGCGCTTTTCTGCAGGCGGTCAGCAGGATTTCGGGGCGTGGCCAAATCTTCAGCGGGCGGTATTTGCGTTTTCTGCAAGCGGGCATCAATACAAAATTTTCTGCAAGCGCTCGTCAAACAATCTCTTTCAGCGAGCGCTGGCCAAACTTTCAGCAGGCGCTCAGACTCTTTTTACGCAGTTTCGGGCGTACGTCGAGCGCAGGTAAGACTCTATGTGGCAGAGGTGCCATCGATGGTTTTATTACCCAAGTTTGGGGTACTTTCTTTCAGCGGGAAGTACCTGAGGGCTGTGCGGTCCTTCAAAAATGACCGTGCGGCTCTCAATAATTTTGCATGTTCTCGCGGAAAATCCGCGAGAATGCGGCCAATGTGCCGCAACTTATGTATAGAAAAACCGCGATAGATCTTCGAGCGTTCGTCTAAAAATTGGCCAAAATTATTCCAAATTTCTGCAAGCGGACCACAAAAAATCAGCGAACTATTTTTCCGGTGCCCGCTTGCTCAAAATTCGCATGGCCGCTTGCCCCCGGCGATTATCTGAGATTGTAAAAAGACGTCTACTTGAGCACCCCCTCGGATAATCGTCGGGGGCAGGCGGCCATGCGATTTATGGGCTGGCGGGCACCGGAAAAATAGCTCGCTGATTTCTTGCGGTCCGCTTGCAGATATTTGGAAGAACTTCAGCGAAATTTTAGTCGAACGCTTTGAGAACGATCGCGGTTTCCTTATACTCAGACAATCGCCGGGGGCAGGCGGGCACCGGAAAAATAGATTGCTGATCTCTCGCACCCCGCTCGCGGATTTTTTGGAAAGCAATCAGGACTTTTCGGAAGACCGCTTGCTGAGTTCTCGATTTCTCAGAGATTCAGCAATATATCTGCAAAAGATAAGAGCGAAAAAAATTCAACAGGCGGTCTCTCAAAAATCCGCTGACTCAGCGAGCGGTCTTCCGAAAAGTTCTGATTGCTTTCCAAAAAATCCGCGAGCGGGGTGCGAGAAATCAGCAATCTATTTTTCCGATGCCCGCCTGCCCCCAGCGATTGTCTGAGTAGATTAGCTGCGGCGCAGTGGCCGCATTCTTGCGGACTTTCCGCGAGAATATGCGAAATTTTCGAGGGCCGCACGGTCCTTTGTGGAGAACCGCGCAGTCCCCAGGTACTTTCCGCTGAGAGAAAGTACCTTAAACTTGAGTAATTAGACCAACGTTGACAACTCTGCCGCACAAAGTCTTACCTGTGTTCGACGTAAGCCCGAAACACCTCTAAAAGACTCGCGCCTGCTGAAAGTTCGGCCAGCGTTTGCTGAAAGAGATTATTTGACGAGCGCCTGCAGGAAATTCTGTGTTGCTGCCCGCTGGGAACATTAGACAGTAAAGGAAGTATCGCTTGCTGAAGGTTTGGCCACGCCCCAAAATTCTGCTGACCGCTTGCAGAAAAGCGCGTGTTTGCAGACCGCCTACCCCCGACTATTATCTGAGCCCATTATAAAAGTCCCACCCTTCATCCGGCACTTTTTCTAACGGACCGCGGGCAATGTATATATTTTCTGAAAGCGGAAGATGAGACGGTTCCAATGGTGACTATCAAGGCGTACAGGATGTTCATCTACAAAAGTAATTTTTTATGTTAAAAACTCGAAAATCTATAGAAATTACTAAGACACCCT